TGAAGTATTCATTGACAGGTAGGGCATTGCAGCAGATAATTTTATGTACTATGCTTAGGTCGGATCAAAGATGGCAGTTCTAAGTTGTCTAAGCCCCAAATTTCAAGTTTGGTGGCATAAAATATTATTTTGCGAGCAGAGGAGTTGAGGGCCCTTCTTGTGAAATATCTCAGGACTCATTGAATTGTATTAATGTCTGATACGCAGTGAGGGTTCCAGACAGATGAACTGTATTCAAGAATTGGTCTAGCAAAAGTTTTGTTGAGAAGAACCCTATGCTCGTTTGAATTGTCAACATTGCTGGACCTTTATCCTGAACCTGAGAAACTTCAATGGTATATAGATGAAGAATGTAAGAATCTGAATTGATCAAGGAGTTGGTTTTTAAATATCTTACTTTTTTACACATAGTTTTGTTAAGACGATAATTAGTCTAGTTTAATAGATGTTAGCTGTTTTTGTTTGGTTGGTTGTTTAATTGTCACATATGTTAGAAACTTGTCTGTGGAATTCCTTAAAACATTTAATTTTCTGGTGGGCAAAAAGATGATAGACTACGTGGATTGTTTTTCAGCATGCCACACACTAACTGACAGTTTTCTTCACATACTCTACTTTCTACTCACAAGGCATTTCAGTTTCAGTGACAAGAACGGCACTGTGCTGCTCCTTTTCAGCATGTAACTTTTACAAATACATTTTTGAACAGTCTTTTCAAGAGAAACTGCATGTTGTCAATTAACAAATGAACAATATATAACAATTATAATTATTGCAGAAGAGACAGTTGTGGATTGTTAGTTGTCTTCAAATACCTGAAGATCTGTCATACTGTAGACTTATTCTTGAACTTACTCTCATTTCCTCCAGGAGGTAAGACTAAAACTAATGGGATGAAATTTCAAGGCTGTAGATCAGATACTAGGAAGAACAGTAAGAACTGTCAATTAGTAAAATAGTTACCTCATGGAACGATTTCCTTCGTTTTGCTGGAGGTTTTAAACAGAGACTGGAAAATCCTCTATTAGACAGGGTGTAGTGAATCCTGCAGTGTGACAGGAATTGAACTTGGCGACCATTTTCAATTCTATGATTCTATATGACTCATAAATTTGAAGTAAATAAAATAGCCTGGATATCCTTTCCTGGCACACAGGCTGTTAAAGCCCGAGTAAGTCCTCGGACTTACGAATGACAGCTCGGTAACAGACAGGCGCGCCTTATCCAATCAGGCGCGACCTGCAAATTGCCGGGCTGTCATACGCGCGGCTATTGGTCCTTCCGTCTGACAGCTCTATATAAAAAGCTGTCAGACGGAGGAAGGGTGCCGGTCTACTTCTGNCCCAACAATCTGGATCCTCATTTTACCCACCTTGGAAGGATGGAAGCCTGAGTCAAACTTGGGCTGGTGAGAATCAAACTGCTGGCAGTTGGCAGAATTAGCCTACAATACAGAATTCTTATCACTCACCACACACACAATGCTCTCTGTGCCACACTAGGTCTTTGGGGTCTCTCAGTGTAGCAAAACTTTTGTCATGCCATATTTTTCAAGCTCACCTATCTATATACAAATGTTTTCCTACTACTCTTACAGAAGGGTGTTGTGAAATAAATAGGCCTAATGTATATGGGTACAAATGCTGAAAATATTAGAATGGCTGTAGAAATGTTATCTTCCATTGATCACTTTTCTAAGATAGTCCCAAAAATACAGATTCAAAAGTGTCCTAGTTGGCATTGTGCATCACTTACCTGTTGGAGAAGACCTTGCTGTAGTTAAACACCTGAATCTCCAGCATCTCATTGACATCAATGCTGCTTGCGATGGGCCATCGGAATGTCTACAAAAATATTGGGAGACAACAAGAAGACAATTGGCATGCTAAGACACTTTCTTAGATATTCAAGGTACTTATTTCCACCCTGAGCTTTCTCAGCACCATGTATGTGTTGCTCTTCTATAAAAATACAAATAAAATATATCATTTAGGGTTTACTGTCTGGAATTACTATTAAATTAAATAGTAAATTACTAATAAATCATTTAATTAAATTCTAATTAAATTTAAATCTAATTTAAATTCTAATTATCATAAGAAATGGCTCAAAAATTGAAGTAGCATTCAATGCATTAGGATTTCTTTTCTCCAAGAATGATCTCATAGGAATTCTTCGAAATAAAAAAAATAAAATGTTTGTGTTTGCCTAGAAGTCACACAATCATCAGAGATTTGTTTTGTTCTATTTATTTATTTATTTATTTATTTATTTATTTATTTATTTATTTATTTATTTATTTAATCAAGCATGAATTAGATAACAGATATGTATAAACATGATTATGAATACCTGAAATGTATATGAATACAAGGGGCTATTAGGACAGGGACAGTAGGCCCCTTGAAGACCTCTTAGGAATGGGGTGAGGTTGACAGTAGAAAGTCTAAGGTTAAAGTTTTGGAGGTTTGGGAAAAAAACCATAGTTTCAGGTAGCGAATTTCAGGCATTGGCAACTCTGTTAGTGAAGTCGTATTTTCTACAATCGAGTTTGGAGCGGTTTATCATAAATTTGTATCTATTGTGTGCTCGTGTGTTGTTGTGGTTGAAGCTGAAGTATTCATTGACAGGTAGGGCATTGCAGCAGATAATTTTATGTACTATGCTTAGGTCGGATCAAAGATGGCAGTTCTAAGTT